CGAAGACACATTGGTTTTCGCACTCTAACTTTAGTTTAAGTTAATGGATCTCCATGAAATTTTACCATAAGGTTCAATACCACGAAAGGAAGGTTGGGATTGATTTTGGGGGTTATGGTACCAACAGTTAAGGAATTAGGGGCCAAAAAGGGGCCAAAAATAAGCATTTTTGTAACTTCCAGACAATAACTTGTGTGTAAGTGTATGGATCTCTCTGACATTGTACCACAAGGTTCCATATCACATAGGGAAGGCTGTAATTGATTTTGGGGGTAATTGCCTCAAAATTTTAGGAATTAGGGGCCAAAAAAGGGGCAAAAAACAAGCATTTTTCTAGTTTCATGACAATTACTTGTGTGTAAGTGTTTGGATATTTCTTAAATTGTACTACAAGGTTCCATATCACAAAGGGAAAGCTGGAATTGAGTTTGGGGGTAATTGCCCGAAACATTTAGGAATTGGGGGCCAAAAAGGGGCCAAAAATAAGCATTTTTCTAGTTTCCAGACAATAACTTGTGTTCAATTGTATGGATCTCTCTGAAATTGTACTGCAAGATACCATACCACAAAGGGAAGGCTGGGATTGAGTTTGGGGGTGATGAATCATAAGGGGGTTCAAAAAATTATGGGGGGGGGGTTTCTTTTTTTTTCTTTTTTTCCTTTTTTTTTTCTTTTAAAATTTTCCATTTTAAGTTGGTTATTTCTGATTTATATTTAAAAGCATATAATAATGATATGGTAGGAAATACACACCAAACAGGATGTGTAATTTATTATACAATAAGTATTGTGCAATAGCAAGAAATTTTCAATTGCACAGTATTGCACAATAGCAAGAAATCTTCAATTGCACAGTATTGCGCAATAGCAAGAAATCTTCAATTGCACAGTATTGCGCAATAGCAAGAAATATCCAATAGCACAATATTGCGCAATAGCAAGAAATTGTCAATTGTACAGTATTGCGCAATAGCAAGAAATATTCAATTGCACAGTATTGTGCAAAAGAATATACTTTGTATAAATTGCTTATTTCTTGATCAATTTCAATGGGGTTTTATTCTTGAATTCTTGGGGTTCTTTAATATGCTGAATCTAACCATGTATTAAGTTTTTGGATTTTGGGCCCTGTTTTTAAATTGGTCCACATTGAGGTCCAAAGGGTCCAAAATTTAACTTTGTTTGATTTCATCAAAAATTGAATTATTGGGGTTCTGTGATATGCCGAATCTAACCGTGTATTTAGATTCTTAATTTTTGGTTCCGTTTTCAAATTGGTCTACATAAAGGTCCAAAGGGTCCAAAATTAAACTTAGTTTGATTTCAACAAAAATTGAATATATGGGGTTCTTTGATATGCTGAATCTAACCATGTATTTAGATTTTTGATTATGGGCCCAGTTTTCAAGTTGGTCCAAATCGGGGTCCAAAATTAAACTTTATTTGATTTCAACAAAAATTGAATATATGGGGTTCTTTGATATGCTGAATCTAACCATGTATTTAGATTTTTGATTATTGGCCCAGTTTTCAAGTTGGTCCAAATCGGGGTCCAAAATTTAACTTTGTTTGATTTCAACAAAAATTGAATATTTGGGGTTCTTTCATATGCTGAATATAACCGTGTATTAAGTTTTTGGATTTTGGGCCCCGTTTTTAAATTGGTCCACATTGAGGTCCAAAGGGTCCAAAATTTAACTTTTTTGATTTCATCAAAAAATGAATTATTGGGGTTCTTTGATATGCCGAATCTAACCGTGTATTTAGATTCTTAATTTTTGGTTCCGTTTTCAAATTGGTCTACATAAAGGTCCAAAGGGTCCAAAATTAAACTTAGTTTGATTTTAACAAAAATTGAATTTTTAGGGTTCTTTGATATGCTGAATCTAAATATGTGTTTAGATTTTTGATTATGGGCCCAGTTTTCAAGTTGGTCCAAATTGGGGTCCAAAATTAAAAATGAATTATTGGGGTTCTTTGATATGCCGAATCTAACCGTGTATTTAGATTCTTAATTTTTGGTTCCGTTTTCAAATTGGTCTACATAAAGGTCCAAAGGGTCCAAAATTAAACTTAGTTTGATTTCAACAAAAATTGAATATATGGGGTTCTTTGATATGCTGAATCTAACCATGTATTTAGATTTTTGATTTTTGGGCCCCGTTATCAACTTTTTCCACATTGAGATCAAAAGGGTCCAAAATTAAACTTTGTTTGATTTCATCAAAAATTGAATTCTTGGGGTTCTTTGATGTGCTGAATCTAACCATGTATTTAGATTTTGGATATTGGACCATAATAGGTGAATGTCCAATTTAAAATTTTTAAGTTCTTAGACCACATTCATTCTGTGTCAGAAACCTATGCTGTGTCAAATATTAAATCACAATCCAAATTCAGAGCTGTATCAAGCTTGAATGTTGTGTCCATACTTGCCCCAACTGTTCAGGGTTCGACCTCTGCGGTCGTATCAAGCTGCGCCCTGCGGAGCATTTTATTCTAGTTTCCAGACAATAACTTGTGTTCAAGTGTATGGATCCCTCTGAAATTGTACTGCAAGGTACCATACCACAAAGGGAAGGCTGGGATTGAGTTTGGGGGTGATGAATCATAAGGGGGTTCAAAAAATTTGGGGGGGGGGGATTTTTTTTTTTTCTTTTTTTTTCTTTTTTTTTCTTTTTTTTTTTCTTTTAAAATTTTCCATTTTAAGTTGGTTATTTCTGATTAATATTTAAAAGCAAATAATAATGATATGGTAGGAGATACACACCAAACAGGATGTGTAAATTATTATATAATAAGTATTGTGCAATAGCAAGAAATTTTCAATTGAACAGTATTGCACAATAGCAAGAAATTTTCAATTGCACAGTATTGCGCAATAACAAGAAATCTTCAATTGCACAGTATTGCGCAATAGCAAGAAATATCCAATAGCACAATATTGCGCAATAGCAAGAAATTGTCAATTGTACAGTATTGAGCAATAGCAAGAAATATTCAATTGCACAGTATTGTGCAAAAGAAGATACTTCGTATAAATTGCTTATTTCTTGATCAATTTCAATGGGGTTTTATTCTTGAATTCTTGGGGTTCTTTAATATGCTGAATCTAATCGTGTATTAAGTTTTTGGATATTGGGCCCCGTTTTTAAATTGGTCCACATTGAGGTCCAAAGGGTCCAAAATTTAACTTTGTTTGATTTCATCAAAAATTGAATTATTGGGGTTCTGTGATATGCCGAATCTAACCGTGTATTTAGATTCTTAATTTTTGGTTCCGTTTTCAAATTGGTCTACATAAAGGTCCAAAGGGTCCAAAATTAAACTTAGTTTGATTTCAACAAAAATTGAATATATGGGGTTCTTTGATATGCTGAATCTAACCATGTATTTAGATTTTTGATTATGGGCCCAGTTTTCAAGTTGGTCCAAATCGGGGTCCAAAATTAAACTTTATTTGATTTCAACAAAAATTGAATATATGGGGTTCTTTGATATGCTGAATCTAACCATGTATTTAGATTTTTGATTATTGGCCCAGTTTTCAAGTTGGTCCAAATCGGGGTCCAAAATTTAACTTTGTTTGATTTCAACAAAAATTGAATATTTGGGGTTCTTTCATATGCTGAATATAACCGTGTATTAAGTTTTTGGATTTTGGGCCCCGTTTTTAAATTGGTCCACATTGAGGTCCAAAGGGTCCAAAATTTAACTTTTTTGATTTCATCAAAAAATGAATTATTGGGGTTCTTTGATATGCCGAATCTAACCGTGTATTTAGATTCTTAATTTTTGGTTCCGTTTTCAAATTGGTCTACATAAAGGTCCAAAGGGTCCAAAATTAAACTTAGTTTGATTTTAACAAAAATTGAATTTTTAGGGTTCTTTGATATGCTGAATCTAAATATGTGTTTAGATTTTTGATTATGGGCCCAGTTTTCAAGTTGGTCCAAATTGGGGTCCAAAATTAAAAATGAATTATTGGGGTTCTTTGATATGCCGAATCTAACCGTGTATTTAGATTCTTAATTTTTGGTTCCGTTTTCAAATTGGTCTACATAAAGGTCCAAAGGGTCCAAAATTAAACTTAGTTTGATTTCAACAAAAATTGAATATATGGGGTTCTTTGATATGCTGAATCTAACCATGTATTTAGATTTTTGATTTTTGGGCCCCGTTATCAACTTTTTCCACATTGAGATCAAAAGGGTCCAAAATTAAACTTTGTTTGATTTCATCAAAAATTGAATTCTTGGGGTTCTTTGATATGCTGAATCTAACCATGTATTTAGATTTTGGATATTGGACCATAATAGGTGAATGTCCAATTTAAAATTTTTAAGTTCTTAGACCACATTCATTCTGTGTCAGAAACGTATGCTGTGTCAAATATTTAATCACAATCCAAATTCAGAGCTGTATCAAGCTTGAATATTGTGTCCATACTTGCCCCAACTGTTCAGGGTTCGACCTCTGCGGTCGTATCAAGCTGCGCCCTGCGGAGCATTTTATTAAAATTGGAGTTATCTTCCTTTGTCCATGATTATAGTTGAATCAACTACAGTCAATGCTTTATACAATGCAATGTTTAATTTGACTTCCACTGATAAAACACAGATCAAGTTGAATTTGGGTAGTGTCACTTTAACCATTATTGAGTTATGCCCCTTTATAAATCGAAAGATTGCAAAATTTTTAGTTTCCATGCTGTTACTTAAATTTGCCCCAACCAAACATTATGAAACCTATACAAAATATTCATTACCACAAAACTAAGATCAAGTACAAATTTTTGTATGTTTTCCAACTTTAGTTTGCCTCAACCAAATGTTATGAGACTTACAATGCTTATTACCACAAAGCTCTATCCACATTTATTTTAAATTGAGGAAAACAATAGAAATCTTCATCTTAAATGAATTTTTTCTGCAGTTGGAATAATGTATTTATAATTTTCAAATTGGAACACATAAATTATTTTGAATTTATTGTTTCAGTTACGACTTATAGACTGGGGTTTAGCTGAATTTTATCATTGTGGAATGGAATACAATGTAAGAGTAGCCTCTAGATATTTTAAAGGTCCAGAATTATTACTTGACTATCAGGTAAGTAAAACAGAAGAATATAGGTTATTTGTGGGATTTCTCCCAAGTTACACATATTAAAAATAATGAGGAAAATTTTAAAATTTATTTCACCATCCGTCATTATGCACATTTTATTTTGCTGACATGTACCTTATGTCGGATCTCATTTACAGCTTTAATGACACTGGTCAGAAATGTACATTATGTTGTTGGTTTTATTGTTTTCTTTATTTCAGATGTACAATTCTTTATTGTAGTTAAATGTTTTTTTATTCATTTCAGATGTACGATTATTCATTAGACATGTGGAGTCTAGGATGTATGTTTGCTAGTATGATTTTTAGAAAAGAACCATTTTTTCATGGTCATGATAACTATGATCAGGTTTGTTTTGTAATTTTATCTTATATAAACAAATAAAAGGTTGAGCATCCTTTAAAACCGCTCAAATCTGAATAAAAGCAGATGAGGGGTATACATGAAGGAGACACCAACTCAACAACAAAAATAACCATGAGATATTGAAGACAATATACATTCATGTTGAAGGCCGTATGGCAGCCTATAGTTGCTAACTTTTTACTTCATTTGGTCTCTGGTAGAGAGTTGTCTCATTGTTAATCATACCACATCTTCTTATTTTTATGCCCCACCTAGGTGTGTCCGTCCGTCTGTCCCGCTTCAGGTTAAAGTTTTTGGTCAAGGTAGTTTTTGATGAAGTTGAAGTCGAATCAACTTGAAACTCAGTACACATGTTCCCTATAATATGATCTTTCTAATTTTAATGCTAAATTAGAGTTTTGACCCCAATTTCATGGTCCACTGAACATAGAAAATGATAGTAAGAGTGGAGCATCCCTGTACTATGGACACATTCTTGTTATATTCTACAAAATAATGATGTTGAAAGTTTCTTTGGAAAATAAATAGTATTTATTTAAGTTACTGATTTAATAAGATAAAACTGAGGTACAACTGATACTGTGAAAAAGGGGTAAATAACCTGCAAGTATTCAGGACGGTTCATATAACCTATATGGTCCCTTCTAGGATATATTGATCAACCCTCAGGTCTAAGCTCCTCAAAAATCTTGTATTTACTCTACATGAAACTTAAAGTGTATTTATTATAAATTTATTACTTAGTACTTTAGTCTATTGTATCATGTAAATAAAGAACTAAATGCAAGCTTGTAATATTGTGAATCTCTCAATCAATTAATGAGTTTATTATCATATGATTTTTTCTTGTAGCTTGTACGAATAGCTAAAGTATTAGGAACAGATGAATTGTATGCATACATAGAAAAGTATCAGATAGATCTAGACCCTAGATTTAATGATATATTAGGAAGGTAAGTAGAATTTGATGAGGGCTTTTCCAGAAAATACTATGTCCCCCCCAGGGAAGGCAATTTTATGTGGGTGGTGGTATTTGAAATACCAAAATGCAAAGGGAGTGTTGTTCTGATATATTTTTATATGACCGCAAAAAAATTTTTGTGGTCGTCTATTGGTATGACTTGGCGTCGTCGTCGTCCGAAGACACATTAGTTTTCGCACTCTAACTTTAGTTTAAGTGAATGGATCTCAATGAAATTTTACCATAAGGTTCAATACCACAAAAGGAAGGTGGGGATTGATTTTGGGGGTTATGGTACCCACAGTTAAGGAATTAGGGGCCAAAAAGGGGCCAAAAATAAGCATTTTTGGAACTTCCAGACATAACTTGTGTGTAAGTGTATGGATCTCTCTGACATTTTACCACAAGGTTCCATATCACAAAGGGAATGCTGGGATTGATTTTGGGGGTAATTCCCTCAAAATTTTAGGAATTAGGGTCCATAAAGGGGTAAAAAAACAAGCATTTTTCTAGTTTCAGGACAATAACTTGTGTGTAAGTGTATGGATCTTTATGAAATTGTACTGCAAGGTTCCATATCACAAAGGGAAAGCTAGGTTTGATTTTGGGGGTAATTGCCCTAAACGTATAGGAATTTGGGGCCAAAAAGGGGCCAAAAAACAAGCATTTTTCTCATTTCAAGTCAATAACTTGTGTTCAAGTGTATGGATCTCTCTGAAATTGTACTGCAAGGTACCATACCACAAAGGGAAGGCTGGGATTGATTTTGGGGGTAATTCCCTCAAAATTTTAGGAATTAAGGGCCATAAAGGGGCAAAAAAAAAGCATTTTTCTAGTTTCAGGACAATAACTTGTGTGTTAGTGTATGGATCTTTATGAAATTGTACTGCAAGGTTCCATATCACAAAAAGAAAGCTAGGTTTGAGTTTGGGGGTAATTGCCCTAAATGTTTAGGAATTTGGGGCCAAAAAGGGGCCAAAAAACAAGCATTTTACTAGTTTCCAGACAATAACTTGTGTTCAAGTGTATAGATATCTCTGAAATTGAACTGCAAGGTACCATACCACAAAGGGAAGGCTGGGATTGAGTTTGGGGGTGATGAATCATAAGGGGGTTCAACAAATTTGGGGGGGGGGGGATTTTTTTTTCCTTTTTTTTCTTTAAAATTTTCCATTTTAAATTGGTTATTACTGATTTATATATAAAAGCAAATAATAATGATATGGTTTGAATAGGTAAATTAAAAATTTTTAAGTTCTTAGACCACATTCATTCTGTGTCAGAAACCTATGCTGTGTCAAATATTTAATTACAATCCAAATTCAGTGCTGTATCAAGCTTGAATGTTGTGTCCATACTTGCCCCAACTGTTCAGGGTTCGACCTCTGAGGTCTTATCAAGCTGCGCCCCAGCGGAGCATTTTATTATTTCTGTGAGTTGTGGAGGTTAAAAAAAAAGTACCGTCTAGTATTTTCTGGAACAGCCCAGACTTGAAATGTCATTATTGTACATTTGTTGTTAATACTTTATCATTTAAACTCTATTTGAAATGATAGATTAATATCAAAGTTAAGGAAAACTTTATTTATTATTCAAACAAAGATAACAATCTCAGTTACTGGGTGTACTCTCTGTTCATCGGTAGCAACAATCTTTAAAAAAAATGTTTTGAACATATAGCTGTGCTTTACAACAATGTAATTGAATATATTTATTTGCAGGCATTCACGAAAACGATGGGAAAGATTTGTACATTCTGAAAATCAACATTTAGTAAGTCCAGAAGCATTGGACTTTTTAGATAAATTATTGCGATATGATCATCTTGACAGATTAACGGCTAGGGCAGCAATGGAACACCCATATTTTTGTAAGTTATAGTTTAATATGAATTAGTATAAAATTTTTATACTAAAAAAACTAATGGATATGACCATACATTAATATAACTTTCATTACAGATATTTTTTGCACCAAGGAATGTAGGACTAACATTGTGTCTTACTGATAAAACAGTAAAGTTGAATACTGTTAATGTAGGTTTAGTTTAATTCTTTTATATAAAAAATCAAGAAAAGGGTAACATGTAATTTAACTAAGACTGCTTGTTATTGACCAGATAGTTTGAAATATGGAATAGATCTGAATGCTCTTTAGAATTCTGAGACTTTGCGACATTTGACCTGTTGTTGCCATGGCAACAATTACTTTTGTGAAGGACATTGTAATTTATGGGAACGTCTGATATACTGGAATGGCAGGCAAATAATGTTAAGAATAACATACCAAGGAGACAAACCAAAATGTTCATTAAAGAAAGACAGACAAGACTATAACCAAAAGACTATTTTAAAAGACACACAAAATCTATTTAATATTTGACAATGTAAAGGTCATTTAAACGTGTTGATATCAAGAGAATAGGTCACTAGAGTTTGCTTTGCCTGATATAAACTATACATAAAACATCATAACTTATATTTAATGTGTATACTATTTATTTGAACAGATCCTATAGTAAAAGAACAAGGAAGAATTTCCTCATCAATGTCAGGGCACAATTCACCTACACCTGTACCTAATCAAGGAACAATCGGAGGTATACCCCGATAACATTTAGTTGTGTATATATAAACTGTGATACTGGACTACCATTACAATCATATACAGCCTTAAAAACTGCAATGTCTCAGTGAAAGGACACAATGTTCTGTTAAAGTTCGTTTTTCATTTATTGACACTGAAAAAAAGACTGGCCTATTTTATAATTTTCGTATGTGTCTAGAAAAAATGAATGAAATGAATTGAAGTATGTTGAAAATTTATTTGTAACATCTAGTCCCCTTTCAAAATAGTAACTTGATATAAGACTAGATTTTGGGGATAAGTTGGTGCAAGTCCACCTCCAAATGTCAACTTGGTATATATCTAGAATGTGAGGGTAAGCTGGTGCAATATGCTTTCTTTAATCACTCAGCTGTTTGCATTGTTTGATTTATTAGAATAGAATCGTGTGTTGCATCCTTGTGACTTTTGTTCGCTATTTAGAAAGGGTGGCACTCTTTATCTTTTTTGCTCAGCATGAGTTTTGCTATTTTATAAGCTTTATTTTCTCAAAGAAAAGGATGTTGTCAACAAAGACATGTATTCTTCAGATTTCAGTCATTTATTAAAAAAAAACTTCTTGTTTACAAAACAGATATGTTTTTTTCCTGATTCTTTTTGATAGCAGATTGTTTGAATTCAATGATTTGTGGTTTATGTTATATTTTTCTGTGTAAAGAAATATAGGATACACAGAGTTCAAATTTTTAGTTTGATTTAAACTTTATATTATAATCTGATATGGATTGGGCAACAGGTAATGCCAATATAAGCCCTCCCCATTTACATGATACAACATATGAACTATACATTAAAATAAAATTGAATATAAGCTTGGCCAAATTCAAAATAACTGGAGATTGCCTTTGTCCCTCATTGAAAAGCTCTCAATATTGCAAGTGTAGCATTCAATATCATGTTTGTAAATTTTTATAAAATTCATTGAGACATGTTAGAAGGTTTAATCTTTTTAAGATTAGACAAAATTTGACAATTTCGAAACGTTAAAGGTTAAAGATTATATAACAGGAAATTATCTCAGGGCTATTCCAGAAAAAAAATGTAATGGGGGGGTTGGGGGTTGGAAGGCAGTATGTTTCAGCACCCACCACCCAGACAATTGTAATTGAGAATCATAGTGCATTATACATGTGAAAAGTTGCTCTGATACCCATCACCAATGTATTATTAATATAAAGTGCCTACCACCCCCAACCCCCCCATACATTTTTTTCTGGAATAGCCCTCAGAAGAAATTGAAGGTATCTGGAATTTTGCTTGAAGCATTTTCAAGGGCAATCATTGTGGGTAAGTAAGCTTATACACAATGCTTATTACCACAAAACACAGATCAAGTTTAAATTTTGGTGGCGTCACTTTAACCATTCTAGAGTTATGCCCCTTTATAAATGGAAAAATTGCAAAATTTTTAGTTTCCGTTCCCCTTACTTAAGTTTGCCTCAACCAAATGTTATGAAACTTATACACAATACTTATTACCACAAAATAAAGATCAAGATCGAATTTTGGTGGGGTCACTTTAACCATTCTCGAGTTATGCCCCTTTATAAATGGAAAAAAAATGAAAAAATTTAGTTTACGTTCTCTAACTTAAGTTGCCTCAACCAAATGTTATGAAACTTATACATAATGCTTTTAACCACAAAACACAGATCAAGTTGAATTTTGGTGGCGTCACTTGAATCATATCGAGTTATGCCCTTTATAAATCAAAAAATTGCAAAATTTTTAGTTTCTGTTCTGTAACTTAAGTTTGCCCCAACCAAACATTATGAAACCTTTACACAATACTTATTACCACAAAACTCAGATCAAGTACAAATTTCGGAGCGTCACTTTTATTGTTCTTGAGTTATGTCCCTTTATAATGTTGTATGCAAGCGGGGGCATCATCTGTGTCCATGGGGACACATTCTCCATTTATTTACTTATACAAGTAAAAAAGTCATACTATCTTCTTTTCTTGAATTTCTCAGGACTTCTTTGCTCCAATAGAATTTTTAATTGTCTGTCCTTTGCAGATGTCTTTACTATCATTGAAGTGTAATATCATGGACAATGAAAATCTCATCTGTCTGTTATCTACAAAACTGCTCATTTACAAGCCTCCAAGGGGCAATTTTTGAAGGCCTTGCACAATTAAGATCTTTGCGCAATTAGTTTCTCTGTGGAATTAATGAGATGAAACATTGAACTCTTAATAAAAAATTATGAGCTTACCAGAGAAAAATTGTTTAAGGCATGTTTTTACATCCCAAAACTTGAGAATTTTAGGGATTGTAAAAAAAAATTACTTATACAAGTAAATTTTTTGAGAAAATTAAGGGGAGATTATTCAGACTTTATAAGAAAATATGAATATAACAAATTTACTTATATAAGTATATTATTATTTACTTCTTCAATTAAATAAAAATAAGCTGTACAAGTAGTACCCCTGTAACAATGTGAGAAAACATAAAATTAGATGACTCTAGTCAGTGCTATTCCAGAAAAAAAAAACTATATTGGGGTTGGAGGGCACTTTTTTTTTAGTGCCATCACCCATACAATTGCATTTTACTTTGCATAAATAACCACACAGTTTGAACTTCCTGACCTGCCCCCACCTATACAAAAATAATTAAAGTGCCTTCCAACCCCCATTTATTTTTTCTGGAATAGCCCTCAGTAACTTGTTTATGTCAAACAAAATTGTAATCAATAATTTCTCGGGGAATATAAACCCTGAAGACTACAAAGGGTTGTTTTATTTAAACATTCATATAGTTCTAATAATTGGCTGCAGAGAAATGCATGTAATGTATGGATACCCCATTTTCAGTATACTATTCCTGTGTACCATGTTTGATTTATTGAAATTAACATAAATACTTCATCAGTCCTGAGAAATGAATAAAACCTAACTGCTAACCAAGTTGTAGTTCATTTCAGGTTTTCAAGAAGATTTGCATTAGAGTGATTGAAGTTTTTTTAAACAAAAATACATGTTTTGCTTCAGTGTTTCAAAAATGTTAATAAACTAACATGGTTAAATCTGAAAGATTTAAGAAAAATCTACACATTTTTCAGTGCTTAAGTGTTTTAGAAATGTCACCATACTAACATGTCAGATGGGAATGGTTAGAGGACTAATTGACAAGTTCTGACTTTCATGCTTTTTTGCTTGTTAGTGAATGATTTTTGTGCATGCTAGTATAAATATATACAGAACAATAACCATATCCTTCTTTTCTGCTCTTCTGCCTACAGGTGCTACCATGAACAGTACTGCAGCTGTCAACAGTTCACCTGTCATCACCCCCAGTATGTCGCCCCTTCCTAACAGTACAGCTGCCGCCGCCCAATCTTAGTGCTATATATGTCTGCTTGGGCTTGATACGTGTCTATTGTGATAACTAAAACTTTGCCATCAGCTACAGGGAACGATTTGCCTGGTGATGCCGAGTATTTATTAGTGAGCTGGTGTTGTGTCGACTTAATGCAAATTGTGATGACCTGAACAAATCAACAGGGCAATAGCAATACAAGATAAACATGTCATTTGTTCACTCACCTGTTATCATTCATATTATAGGGTAACGATACTCGCCCGTCAAAACTTTTTCTTCAAAAATATATAAGTCTGTGTTTCAGCTAAAATAAGACATTTTATTTGTTTTATTGAATATTAAAGGGAATTTTTTTTGCCAAAAAGATTGAAAGAAAAGATGTCAACTTTCTAACTTTTATCATTAATCATTTTAAAGTAGTGGTTAGAAAAATGGGGTTAAATCACTTGAGGTATAGAATATATTTTTTTTTTTTACTTTTTCACATAATACATGATATTTAGTCAATGGACAGAAAATATTGTCTCTACAACAACATTGTTTATGTCAGCTGTTTTTCATTTATGATGTATGATTTATTTGATAATTTGATAATTTATGTCTTGACAAGTGCTGAAATTGAACCTGATGTTTTTTGTTTTTATTTGAAGTAAAAGAAACTAGAAATAAATAATATAGTTTAATGATCAAGATAAAATATGTTCCCCTGCATAATTAAAAAGTTACTGATATGGGCTGTATAATGGAAGTAAACCAAAATAATTTAATTGCACTGTGAATTAGAAGCATCCATTTCATGCAAACCAAATCAACAAAAATAATAAGGCATCCTATCAACACAAACTAAATTATTCTACATTTTTAATATTTGGTAGGTTTTAATTTTGATAGGCTGGTAAAGTTTCTCAGTCAAATAATTTTTGATACAAATTTACAAAAATTACAGAATTCAAACATAATATTTCTCTTAATATTATAATTTATGTAGACATTTATGCAAGATGAACTGTTTTAATGACCTTGATTGAGTTCATGACTTCTTAAGTCTTCTGAAACTCAATAATCCAGAGAACTTGTAGGAAAAGATGAAAACAAGTCCTGATTCTGTTTTTGTTGCTTGTGTTTTGTTATGGATTACACATAGGAATCTGTTTTCACTATAGTATTCTTCATAGGTAAAACAAAATTTCTTAGGGATCCCTTAGACTTGAGCTAAGTGCCTTTCACCATACAGTGAAATCACAAAAAAAAGACCTAAAATGATACAATATGATAATGGATGTGTTGTGGTAGGTAGGTAAAATGTAATAAATACTGTGGCCATAAAACAAATATTGGTGCAAAGCTTTATTTACATCACCTGTCTAACAGGTGCTGTCTTGTGTGTGCCAGGAAAGGGTTTTAATTGATTTTCAGAGCTGTAGAGAAAAAAATTTGAAAGGCAATGTGTCCAGATGTATACATTTGCAGCTTCTTCATATTTCTTTTCAGACTTGAATACAGTAAACTTTTGTCGGACATTAGGCAGGGCCATTGTTTGCTTGACCTTTGAAAATTCTACCCAGGTTTAACATCTGATAATATTTTGTCTTTATTTCACACCAACATGTTTTTGAAACTGTCTTGTATTCTGGGAATGTTGGTAAAAAGGTTTTGTTACAAAATTTGATACATCATATACGTTGACAAGAAAATTAACACTCTTTAGGGTGAATACAGATATCAAATATAAATTTTATATGGCTTTTTTCCATATTGCATCAGTATCAACCAAAACACCTGATAAGGTGTATGATACTGCAAAATCCGTATCATATAAACTTTATTATATACTGAAAATATGTTTTGCTGCTGCTGTTTTGATTTAATACAGATTTTGGGATTTGATAGAGCCTGTGCAACCATGATTGATGTCATTATGGATGGCTGATAAAGATTGCCATGATTGTATTAGTATTTTACAAATTAAAGTTTCTTCTATTTACTACCAGGTATATAGTAAAGCTTGATAAACACTTGTTTACTCACAGGAATGATTTAGGTCTAATGAATTTAAGAATGAAAAGTTACTTTTACTAATAATGATTTTAATTGCTGTTATATAATATTGTAAAGCAGGTCTCATTGGAAATGTCTTTCAGTTTACAATGTATAGTTTATCATAACTTTTTTGTATCGTTTGACTCTCACAGATCTGTTTACATATAAATATTTTCATCATGTTGTTTGTGACTGGATATTATCCATTTCTGCATCAGGAAAGAACATTCACATTAGCATTCTGTACAAATTAAGTCTAATTTATGCTTACTTTTATGATAACAGGTCTCAGGAGAAATGCATACAGGAAATATCTTCATACAATGAGGATATTGCAAAATAAATGATTAAATAAATAGAAAATAATCATATTGATATAGCGAGAGAGGAGCAGACATACACTAGGAAATAATCATTTGCAGATGCATTTATTTATGAAGATTAACTTAAACATTTGCTGTAATGATGTGGTTGCGAAAGTTGAATGAGACTCCAAAATCCTTACAAAGAAAGTTTAATTTAGCTGGCACCACACAAATGTTTGATATTGTTCTTAAAGTCTTTAACTGAGGTTTATAACAAACATCAGTCATATGTGCATGCTAAGATACTTTGCTGTCAATGTCTGAAGCACAACATTTGATATAGATCTGAAAAATCTCTTTTGGCAATTGTATGTCTTAAAAATAAACACATCTTGGTATTTGCAAGCACCAGATCGGTGTATGCATCATTCATAGTTAGGACTTTGTATGGATAATCTCAATTATTCAAATTCTTTTTCACAAATATGGTGCCTGGGCAAACAGCTGTAACAATATATTCTATATGAAATTTTGTATTTAAATCATGGTGAACAATTGTATTATCAGTATTAGAATATCCTGTGAAAAAAGTACTTGAAATATGGTAATTCTCTCTTTTAACTCTGTAGATCAAATTATTGTTAATTTTTTAAATGATTGCTCTGTTTTTGCATAATTTACTCTTGTTTTGTTAATTATTTCCATCATACCAAATTTCATTTTTTCACATGTTGCCCCAGAAATGAGAGTTGTCCTTTTATTTTTTATTGTCATGTGGAAAAAGGGATTCAGTTTATTTCTTGTTGTAGACAAATTTGTCTTGTTGACATTGCACTTGTGTTATTTGTTTCATTTTGTCTTGTTTACATAAAATTTCATTTGTATAAAACATTAAACCATGTATATTTAAAATTAACTTGAAATTGTTTTTGATCAATTTTGTCTGGAAAAAAGACATTCAGTTTAGTAAATTTAAATGTAATATGTTTTTTGTATTATTGTTCATTTGTGAAATGAAGACATGAAATGAATTTGTCTACAACAAGAGAATGTTAATTTCACTCTGAAGTTGTCTCCCCATGCTGATATTGCAAGGGAGGTCATTATGAATATTATCTCCCTTTCTTTATATAAGGTCAAAGTAGAGATGACTGATTGAAGATTTATAATTTGATTCTGGTGCGTGTCATATCATAGAATACTTTTATATGTAAAGGTAGATGGAACTAGCTGTGGTTCATGTCTACCTAATGCCAAGTCAAATATGAACATTTAATAAAGTTCACTCTTGTTTTTTATGGCCAAACTTGGACTTGATAAATACTGTCATAAAAAAAAATATCTGACCCTTTAATGAAAGGTAATGTTGTGAATTCAAATGAGGAAAACCTTGATATCACATTGTATCAACGGTTTCCCTAACTTTCGATGAAAAAAGGTAGGAATTTCTTGTTCTACCATTAAGCTGTGGAAACAGTACACATGTTCATTATTATGTGATCTTATATAAAAGATGTGACAAATCAGGGTATTGGCCAAGATTTAGTGGATCATTTAACATGGAAATGTGAACGTATGAACAGAGGATTGAATCATATGGACACGCATTGTAAGTTTTCTATTTTCTATTGGTTGTTATCTCTTTAAAACTATCCCACACTTTTCATTCATATTTAAACTGATTTACTTTACATGCGAGAACTTCTTTAGGTAATATAGGACTTGTGCATAGTTGTTGAAATGTTATCTTCACCAAAAATTGGACTGCATAACACCAAATGACTGAATGGAAATATTGTCCTTTAATCTACATGGGCACACATTTCATGCATAGTCAAGTCTCAAAAAAGTTATCAAGTTATCAGTTGGTAAAATCTCGAGTGGATTGACATGGAGGGGCAGAAAAGAGGGCTGATTGGTAAGCATATTGAATACATATTATTGGCAGGTCACCCACAGACCATTGATATGGTCTTTTACAAGCAAAGTCCTAGGCATTTCCAAACATGTGCCCCATTAGACCCCACCTGATATGAAAACAATGGAAGCAATGATCTAAAGAAATATAGTATCAATTTTCACAATTATTTAATGCTTATACAAATCTGAAGTTGTCATTGCATACATACAGGACATCAAAGCACTAATGCAGTCCATATATTTTGCATGGGCACACGGCAGATTATAGTCCATATATTCTTGCAGTAAATCTTTAATTGTATGGCCACACTAGCTTTTCAGATACCAATACAAAGTTTGATGGGTGAGGCAAAATTACACCAAATAATTTAGAAAAATTATTCAAACAAATCAGTCTGTTTATATAAAAGTAAGATGGTGTTGTGGTTGCCTTTGAGACCACTCTCAATCAGAGACCAAATGACGTAGAAGTTAGCAACTATAGCCTATAACAATGAGAAAAAAACCATACCGCATAACAAGCTATAAAGGCCCTGAAATGACAATTGTAAAACAATTCAAATCAGAAATTTAATCTTGACTCACTTCGTGTATGATGTCCTTCAGCATCATTGCTTTTAACTGGAAATAGGCAGAGGTAATTAATTCAGTTCGACACTTAAGGAGGATGAACGAAAGTTTTTAATTATGATTTATAATCCTTGCATAGCTGTGCCTAATCAACTTCGAACCTGGCACATTGAACCATGTTAAGAATGCTAAATTGCAATCATAATTTGACACATGACTCAATCCAAGGAATTGCTTGTTTTTCCATAAGAAAAATATGAATATGTAGTGTGACGTGAATCTTTTGTATTTTTCCAAAGAACTTGCTGAAGTGCCATTATAAAAAAGAGGGAAAGAAATAATTGAAAATGACGAAATCACAATTTTAGGGGCAGTTTGATCATTTTATTTGCCTGGATTGGTGAGATTTTGGAAATATATTTGAATACAGGAAATGTTTGTTTTCCTTTCAATTCATGAAGAATGAACACCATTTAAAATAAAAATTCGTAAGGGTTCCGCGGACACCAGTGTCTCGCCTACTTTTGCTGTTAGTCGCAGGCTCAACAAAAATTGGGGAAAATTATTAAAAATTTTCCTCTAGATATCTTTTGATTGTAAGAAGTTCTGTTCAAGTTTGGTAAAAATCCAAGAAGGTTTATGAATCTAATAAATGTTTTAAAAACTGCAGACTACGTAATGTTAACTGGAAAAACAGGAAATTATTTTTTTACAAAATTTCCTTCTAGATACTAGCTTTTGATCATAAACAAGCTTTTGTCCAAGTGTGGTACAAATCCATGATAGTTTAAGAAAGTTATTAAAATTTGAAAAACTTTAACCACAGAGTGAATATTTGTGGACGCCGACGACGCCGCTTTTGCGTCGCAGGCTCGACAAAAATTATTTATTTATATTTTGTTGAAAAAGTGCATTCTCAATGCCTCTTTCTGGAAATTATTTGTCGAACTTGAATAAAAATTAAAAAAATCTACACCTTTAGATTTCCCTCTCCATTCTTGTCAAAATCATAAATTGAAAAAAAAAGTTTATCAAGAAAGAAGATGCAAGAACTCTGTACTTTTTAAAATTGATATCTCAAAAGAATTTCCGTCAATAATGAAAGATTCTCAATCTTTGTGAAATAGAATAGAAATTTTAAAGTAACATTTTGGAAATAACGATAACCGAATAAAATATTGAAAATGAGATCAGAAAAGCTGTCTGATTAGCTACAAAATTGGCTGCATCACAGCACCGACGATCCTTTGATTTTTGTCGAGCCTTCGACTTTACTCGAAAAAGCGAGACATAGCGATCCTACATTCCGTCGTCGTCGTCGGCGGCGGCGGCATCCACAAATATTCACTCTGTGGTTAAAGTTTTTGAAATTTTAATAACTTTCTTAAACTATCCTGGATTTCTACCAAATTAGGACAGAAGTTTGTTTATGATCATAAGATAGTATCCAGAAGTAAATTTTGTAAAAAAAAAGTCCTGTTTTTCCGTATTTTACTTATAAATGGACTTAGTTTTTCTGCCAGGAAACATTACATTCACTCTGTGGTTAAAGTTTTTAAAATTTTAATAACTTTCTCAAACTATCCTAGATTTGTACCAAACATAGACAGAAGTTTGTTTATGATCAAAAGCTAGTATCTAGAAGGAAATTTTTATTAAAATTTTGTACTTGTTTATCCATATTTTACTTATAAATGGACTTAGTTTTTCTTCCAGTTAACATTACATACAGTCTGCAGTTAAATTTTTTAAAACATTTATTAGATTCATAAACTTATTTATTTTTTTTGGATTTTTACCGAACTTGGACAGAAGCTTCTTTCAATAAAAAAAAATATATCGAGAGGAATATTTTTATTTAATGTTTTCCTCATCTCATTTTTGTTGAGCCTGCGATTAAAAGCAAAAGTAGGCGAGACACTGGGTTCCGCGGAACCCTTACGAATTTTTCTCATTTTTCTCGTCTTGAAATAACATTAACCGTTATAATTTTATTGCACCAGATGCGCATTTCCACAATTAATGTCTTTAGTTATGCTCGAGGCCAAAATACTAGAAAAACCAAAACACTTATACAAACGTTGAAGAGCAAATCAAATCAAAATGGACCTAAAAAGTTTACCAAATCCGAACAAGGATGGAGAGTTGTCTCATTGGCACTCATACCACATCTTCTTGTATCTAAGTAATCGGAGCTATGCACGAGGGAGATATATTCCTTAATTTTAAATAATTCCCAAAATTTTATAACGGCAAATATCAATTAAACAATATCCGTATTTTCCTCCAAGTATCGAAGTACTGGCTACTGGGCTGGTGATATTCTCGGGGACCAACAGCATGAACATGCATGAAACATTTACAACTGGACGTTTAGCAAACAACAATCAATCTGGAGTGTCGCATGACCTTGACATCATGCTAATCATTCAGTGGTTCGGATTATGTCAGGTTCTCTGTACACAAGGGGTTTACACTATTTAGTATGTGGATTGGTTGTGAGGAGTACGTGCTCATCTGATGGACAAAGAGCCTTGCCCTACTATCCTTGCTTCAATCGGGTATTGTCCCAGAAATATCACTGTTTGATAATCGCAGTCCTTGGAATGATTATCTGAAGAGGCTTAAACTGAACGAATTGCAGGCACAAATTACAAAAAAAAAACGAAGTATCGAGCAAAAGCATCTGAATGTCATCATCACCTAGAAAATCGCCCGTATCAATTTGAAAAAAAAAATGTGTCAGTGGATATACACAAATGTCTCCCCTGCTATTGGTTATGCCGACGTGTTTACCAAAATTAATACAAACCATAAATTATCGAACAAGCAATGATCACACAAAGAAGACGAAGCAACCAACCATCAATCCATAAAAAAATAGTGAAAATCTGAAAACGATTTATTGGTTTTTGTCTCGCCTGCGACACAAGTCGCGGAAAACGAGACCTAGGGATTGCTTTTCCGGCGACGGTGACAGCTGCGGCGGTGGTGGCGTCAACAATTGTTAAGTTTTCTGCTTAAGTTAGTTTGATAGGAACTAGTGATAGATCATTGACATTTAATACAAAGTTGCATTACTATCCTAGGACATGGTTTAGTGGCTTTGAATTTATAAGCAAATTTCAATGTTAAGTTTTCTGCTTGAGTTAGTTTGATATGATCTACTTGTGATAGATCAATGATATTTTGTATGAAGTTGCATTGCTATCAGTACATATCAGTTTGACAACTATTTTGAGTCCCTGCCTCTAGGCCATGGTTCAGAGACTTTCAATTAATTAACAATTTATATGATAAGTTTTCTGATTAAGTTAGTTTGATAGGAACTACTTACAATAGACAATATTTTTTTTTAGTTACATTGCTGTCTGTACATCTCATTTTTTTCAACCATATCGAGGCCCTGCAAACTAGTTGGTCCAGCGACTGTGAATTAACTAGCTATGTTGCTGTCCATTAGATTGTCTTTTTCTGAATTTTATGCCGACAGGCAAGACATATCTCTGTGTCAACAGTTTATTATTTGTATGTTTTTCATGATTAATACAAAAGTTATCACCAGCAATCCGGAAGAGGACTTGATAAGTTTGGAGTCGAAACATTTCAACGTCGATGATACGTCTGATTAAAGTTATCAAGCGACCATGGCCAGGTCGGCGTGTTTTACATCCCACATATACATAGTCGTAACATGCAATTTTAAATTTAAAGCTTGATAGAGGGACGACCGATACACATTAAAATGATTTTTATACATTAGACGAAAAACTGAAAAGCGCTGAAATCTTAACTGGACAATAATCTAATTTATTCGAACCAGTGAATAATGAAATGTGTTAAGATTTAAATTTAGATGTTAATCTGGTCACCAGATTTACATGGATCAATTTTGATAATACGGTCATTGCCGGACAGGATCGTATTCAATGTTTGATCCTCAGTGCTCAGCTTTTGAAGTTGAGATTCCATGTGAACCATATAAACTTTCCTTTAAAACCTAAAATAAGAAGTGTGTTAGACAACTCTCCACCAGAGACCAAATGACATAGAAGTTAACAACCAGATCACCGTACGGCCTTCAATAATGAGCAAAACCCATACCGCATAGTAAGCTATAAAAGGCCCCGAAGTGACAAAAAATGTATAAAAATACAATTTAAACTAGAAAACTTACGACCTGATTTATGTACAAAATCTGTTTATTTTCGATTATGTATGTATGCCATGGCTATATTCAGATGTATGTTTTTTTTTATTACTTTTTTATATTCGGGGGGAAAACACTCGGTTATATATTTTATATTACGCCGAGTTCACATTAATATTTTATTTCATATTTTCTAGTAAATTATAATTTCTAATATTTCAATATTTTTGACGTGTTTTGCTCTTCTCCATACGCTATTACAATACTAGCTAATACGTGCTGTCCTTTTATTTTTCTTAAAAGACCGTGTGGGCATTACATATGTAAAAATGATTTGAATATAACAAAAAATTATATTTACTGAAAAAAAAAGTACGGAGCCTTGGGATACTCCAAAATCTGCATCAATATGTGATGAGCTCTCCAAATCCACTAGTCATTTATTGTAATAAAAGTTTTGCTGGAATTTTATTATAATCTATTAATGAACATAGATTTACATAATTGACATATATTTAATCAATGCTTTATCATTTCTTTAGCCCCACGAATTCTATATTTGTATAACAATTGTTGATGTTGGTTAGTCTGTCGGGGGTGTATACTTTACAATTTCTATCAATTTTGTAAGCGGACTCCCCACTCCCCCGTGATCAATCTTCGACTTTTTTTTGGTGAAAAAAAGGTTAAAAAAATTAACGCAAAAAATGTTACATTTGGAAAATAGCATAAATAGACATGAAATGACAAACCAAACCCCTATTTATTTAACTTACTGCATATAACAAGAACTTTTTTTTAAATCAAATTTCACGAATTATTTGTGTTGTTGATATTACGAAAAATACACTGTAAAACAACGACTGTTCAATGTAAATAAAACCACGTGTGTCGTCTACTCGCTACAACAGAAGTACTAAGCGTGCCACTACATATATCATTACGCTAAATTCATATATTCAAATATCTTTTTAATTAAGGCATGACATGTTTTGAAACTTTCTAGTAATATTCAAACTGCACTATTATGACATAAATTTATAAAGTTAAACAATAGAATGAGTGTTTATACTAATTCTCAATATAGTTCCCTAGCGTCACACGTAGCAACTAAAACCAAGCGCGACCGTATCGCCACCCTTGACAACTTGTCTAACTTAAACGACACACAACTGAACCTTCACTTGACAACTGTTCACCATCGGAGAAGGAGCGTATTAGTGTATTGTCCAGGAGGACTAAGAACTTAGAAAATTTTCACTACTATAGACAATAACAATGTTCAAGAACACATTTCAGAGTGGGTTCTTATCCATACTTTACAGTATTGGAAGTAAACCGTTACAAATTTGGGACAAAAAGGTAAGAATTTTTCATTCTATACACCGGTTATCATTACCATAGTGATACATTGATGGCAACATGAAAACTTAACTTCATCTATTAATAACATGACAATATGCACTACTTGCAATGCAATTAGTTTCACATTACATGGGGTTATCTCCAGATTTTTGTTTCGAATAATTATGGCATTTGAATAGGAAGAAACTTTATTTTTGTTGACACACGGAAGTGCACGTGTAAACAACTTACAATTGTTTGAATGTTACATTTGATACAAAAATAATTTAATTTAACACGCTACCATCGTGAGTTATGGTGACGGAAGTGTACAAATGTTATTTTCCCCAAAGAAATGTCAATATTAGAAGCCATATGGTGTGGTGATGTTGATGTTTATAAAGTCAAAGATGGAGATGTTGGTCATCTCGCTTCATCGAGTTATAAGCCATAATTTTCATTCGATTGCACATTAACAAACACTTTATTATAAAAACACTACAAGTTAACGATAAATAAAACACGTTAAAATTATATAACATGGACTTAGAACTCCGTTGTCAAGATAGTATTTTGTTTCCTGATCATCAACATCATGGCCGCCATTTGCATTCAATATATAATGTAATAACATCATGTTATTATCGTTTTAGGTTAGAAATGGTCATATTAAACGTATAACAGACAACGATATCCAGTCCTTAGTTTTAGAAATTGTTGGTACAAATGTCAGGTATGTACTTAATCAACCATAAACAAATATTTCTTTGTTTTGAAAAGGAGATGATTTTGAATTATCTCCCTTCAGTTACATCTATGGTAACACATAATCAAACACAAATATACATGCATTTTGTTGTTTAATGAGACAAAAATAGCTTAATGGCATTTAATGCATTTTTAATCATTCATGTGTTTGCAAAGCATTCTATAAACAATAGAAATTAAGTATATTCTGCATCTTATTTTATTTTAAGCATGTTTATTATATTAACATGCTATTTGCAACTTTTGAAAGTAAATTATATTAGGCTTAATCTTACCATGGACAAAAATGCCAATTTTGAAAATATTTTCTATATGCTTAAAGAACTAATTTAAGATATTTTGTATTTACAACTATAACAAGTCTGAATTGTTTTTTGGTTTGTGCACATTTTATAATTTTGTATGTTTATTGAGTGAAGTTACATTTAAAAGTAATTATTGAAAGAACATTATTTCTAACTGTGAATAATTTGCTGATAATTTTCCCTTTTCTATTTATAGCACAACATATATCACATGTCCAGCAGACCCAAAGAAAACGTTAGGAATTAAACTTCCATTCTTAGTTATGATCATCAAGAACTTAAAGAAATATTTCACATTTGAAGTACAGGTAAGAATGCAGTAATTATATTTTTTTTAATTAAAAGTAGACTAAAAAACATCAGTCACACAATTTTTTCACTGCAATCAATATAAGCATGATATGTACATATGTTTTAACGAAGTAAGCAAACTTGACAAAAACAACATTTGTTACTTTGAAAGAACACATTGCTATCACTATTCTGTTCAGATTTTAGAATCTGAAGTACAAAAAATGTACATGTAAATGCATATAATTTTACTAATGATTTTTTGACTATTTCTGATGCGATTTGATATTATTGATGATTGTCAATAGACAGTAACTTAACCATTATTGTCTTTATTCCTTTTATAAGATTTCTTTATGAATCATTTTAGGTCTTAGATGACAAAAATGTGAGACGAAGATTCAGAGCTAGTAACTACCAAAGTACAACACGTGTAAAACCATTTATATGTACTATGCCAATGAGGTTAGATGATGGATGGAATCAAATTCAATTCAACTTGTCAGATTTCACAAGGAGAGCTTATGGTACAAATTACATTGAAACACTTAGAGTACAGGTTAGTATAGATTATCTTGTCAAACGATGTCTATAAATAGAATTTATTTGTCACAATCTTGTCTCATAAGTTGTAAAGACCTCATCAAATCATGATAAAATGAGCAAATATATTGTTCCACACTTTAAAAACCATTACGTTCAAATAGTTACTTTTATTTTGCAACAAGCAATTATGAAATTTGTCCTCTGAGGAAATAGTATAACAAAAAAGTGAGGGATGGTAGCTTTTTAACACTTTCATAAACAAACTTTTGATGTACAGTTTGAATCATAAAGAATAGGTTGGTTATACTTTTCAGACCCTTTTTTTTAGAAGTGAAATTCCATTATTTATTGTTTCTATTTCTTTTTGCAGATTCATGCCAATTGTCGAATTCGTAGAGTTTACTTCTCAGACAGACTATATTCAGAAGATGAATTACCTGCAGAATTTAAATTATACCTTCCGGTGCAAAATAAAGGAGGCGTGAAAGCATAACAAAATGACTAATTAGACAGTGTATATAAATTATACAAAAAAAATGTTCAAATGCTACTCAAGAACCGAAGGTGAATTATTGCGAGAATGTTGGATATTAAGAGATGCTGCCTGTTTTTACAAATGTCTTGCAAAAATGTTGTACGAGAGACCAATCAAACATGGCTGATTCCTGCCTAGAGTCTCGTTGAATATGCCATGATCATATACGAAACAAAGTGTTCATTTTAAATTTTCATTGATGTCATATTTCATTTATCTCTTGTTGCATGAACAGTTATTTTCATATTTATAGGAAGACTCGGTGCAATTATACAGCCAGATTTAAAAATTGTTTATTAATTTTGCATAAATGATTTGATATTATTGTCTTTCTGGAACAAAAGGATATTTAGTGCTTTAAAATCAATGTTTTCAAATTTTATACCTGTGTTTATATTTCACACATATTGTACTTATGGATATGCAGATAATAATTTAAGGTTTAAATTTGGTTGTATTTGCCTGTAGATCTCCATATCTCCCGTAATCTCAGGATATTTTTAAAACACAAATTGCATCTAGCATTTGAATAGAATACAAAATAAAGAAGATTTAATTCCATTTTAAGTTGGGATTTATTGCAATATTTTATTTTATATATATTTCGAAGTTGTCTTTTCCCGACTTGTTTTGTTAGTGGATAAATTTTCAAATTTTTTCCTGTTATTGTCTTTGTTAAACAATGTTCTTGCATTTTAAAAAAATATTTGTACATAACTTCCATAGCAAAAAATAAATGTATATTAAAAATTAGCAGATGAACAGATATTCTCTCTCAAGTAATATATTCTGCCATAAGTATTAGTAACACCCATAGTAAGTGAAACTTCTTGTTTGATTGTTGCTTGCTTAATGTCCAGTGGCAAATATTGCACTCATATTCAGGACGAGAAAAAAACCCAGTTGCATCAGGCCACCTACTGACCCCTCACTTAAACATGAATATCGATGCTGAGCAAGGAACTTTCCCTACTAGTATCATTGGAAGTAACAACCCCATTTCAACCAGATGTGGCTGCCTATTTATTCATCCCATATAGTTAAATGGACACCCCTTCTTTTTTTCTGTCAGACTGAACCCGTTTCTTTACCCTGTAATACCCTTAGTGAACTTGTTTGAAGACTCTTTGTATTAAGAATAAATTTCTTAGTGTTCTACCAGCAGTTACTGTGATTAGTTTCAAGTGAACAAATGTTTGACTGAATGTGAACTTCATATAAAACAATCAGAATCAAATATACAATGTATCTCCTTCAGTGATTGGGTTGTTTTTATACCAGGTTTTGGTAATTTTTATTTTTAACACTAGGATGAAATGTTTTGCCCATCAACATTAAAGATAAAAATTTGTGTATCCAGAACATATAAACATATTTATATTGATACCAGGAGATTTCATATAGGTCAGTGAGACTGTAAACCAAAAGACAAAAGTTCAGTAGATGATCTGATACAAGAGCATTGTCATAGATGGTCATCATACAATCTTTAGAGTTTGAAAATCAAGTACTGCACTTGACCTAATGAATGTCTGTTTTAAGACAATTTTTGTTGGACGTCTGATGCACTTTGACTATATATGATTCTCCAGAATATATGTGGTGATTGAGGTAAACTACAAAATTGCGACAGTTTGTTTGTTCTGCATTTTGAAGCTTTCTTAAAGTTTTGTATTGATGGCCTTCTTGTAAGATGCAGATTTTTACAACAAAATATGTGAAGAAGACTAGAATAGTATTCAGGTTTCTTTATTTTTAATATTGAAATAGTCATCACAATAAACTGACAAGACATGTGCACTGAAAATCAGCATACATGGATGCACATTAGTAACTTGGTCCCTTGTTGATGGTCTTTATTTAATTTTCATTTGTTTTGTCAAATTCAGGCCACTGTCATCAGTCTCAAAAGATCATCTTTTAATATAGAAAAACATTCAAGCAACTAACTCTCGCTAAAGAGTTGGCTTTCAGGGGGAGTGAATGCCTTTCTTCAAATTCCTGGGTTTGCACCTGCCAGACTTGTTATTATTAAGCATTTCATCGTCCTTAGCATGTACAAAATGTATTCGATTTGGCAGTCACCATATAGTGGTCGAAAACTTCTTGGTCTCTAATGGAGACTAGTCCCATGTTGGTTATCATGCCTCATCTTAGTTTGCTCCGTCAAAGAACCATTAATTGAACTCTCCCACATCACCTTCAAGAAAATACATCAGTAAAAATAATTCTCTTAATGAAAACTAAATTATAGTACTTAGTGAACCTGCTTTATTTGAGTTGTATACCTTTAACAGTGTGTCATATGAAGACAGAAACATGTGCACGTTCGATTGACAATTGTCTTTCAATTGCAGAAATTCAATTCAGTAAGTGATAACTCGCAGGTATTTGGCGAATCCTGGCCATGACACACCAAGGGGAAACCCCGATTTGACGGAAAATGTCCCCCTTTATCAAACATCCTAGCCCTATGAAAAGTTTCTAAATCCATGCCTAAATATGCTTATTATACCCCACGCAACGAGTTGCGGAGGGTATAATGTTTTTGACCCGTCCTTCTGTCCGTCCGTCCGTCTGTCAGTCCTATTTCTTGTCATCGCAACTCCTCTCAAACCACACAACAGAATTTCACGAAACCTTTTTAGATAATAAGGACATACTATGTAGTTGTGAATATCAAGAGGAAATTACGATTCAATTTTTTTTCTAGAAGTTGCGCCCCTTTGAACTTATTTACTTTAATGTACTACTGCAACAGTTTGTCATCGCAACTCCTCTCAAACCACACAACAGAATTTCATGAAACCTTTTCAGATAATAAGGACATACAACGTAGATGTGCATATCGACAGGAAATTACGATTCACTTTTTTTCCAGGAGTTACGCCCCTTTGAACTTATTTGCCAAATATACTACTGCAACCTTTTGTCATCGCAACTCCTCTGAAACCACACAACAGAATTTCATGAAACCTTTTCAGATAATAAGGACATACTACGTAGATGTGCATATCGACAGGAAATTACGATTCAATTTTTTTTCCAGGAGTTACGCCCCTTTGAACTTATTTGCCCAATATACTACTGCAACCTTTTGTCATCGCAACTCCTCTGAAACCACACAACAGAATTTCATGAAACCTTTTCAGATAATAAGGACATACTATGTAGATGTGCATATCGACAGGACATTACGATTCAATTTTTTTTCCAGGAGTTACGCCCCTTTGAACTTATTTGTCCAATATACTACTGAAACCTTTTGTCATCGCAACTGCTCTCAAACCACACAACAGAATTTCATGAAACCTTTTCAGATAATAAGGACATACTACGTAGATTTGCATATCGACAGGAAATTACGATTCAATTTTTTTTCCAGGAGTTACGCCCCTTTGAACTTATTTGCCCTATATACTACTGCAACCTTTTGTCATCGCAACTCCTCTGAAACCACACAACAGAATTTCATGAAACCTTTTCAGATAATAAGGACATACTATGTAGATGTGCATATCGACAGGACATTACGATTCAATTTTTTTTCCAGGAGTTACGCCCCTTTGAACTTATTTGTCCAATATACTACTGAAACCTTTTGTCATCGCAACTGCTCTCAAACCACACAACAGAATTTCATGAAACCTTTTCAGATAATAAGGACATACTACGTAGATGTGCATATCGACAGGAAATTACGATTCAATTTTTTTCCCAGGAGTTGCGCCCCTTTGAACTTATTTGCCCAATATACTACTGCAACCTTTTGTCATCGCAACTCCTCTCAAACCACACAACAGAATTTCATGAAACCTTTTCAGATAATAAGGACATACAACGTAGATGTGCATATCGACAGGAAATTACGATTCACTTTTTTTCCAGGAGTTACGCCCCTTTGAACTTATTTGCCAACTATACTACTGCAACCTTTTGTCATCGCAACTCCTCTGAAACCACACAACAGAATTTCATGAAACCTTTTCAGATAATAAGGACATACTACGTAGATATGCATATCGACAGGAAATTACGATTCAATTTTTTTTCCAGGAGTGACGCCCCTTTGAACTTATTTGCCCAATATACTACTGCAACCTTTTGTCATCGCAACTCCTCTCAAACCACACAACAGAATTTCATGAAACCTTTTCAGATAATAAGGACATACAACGTAGATGTGCATATCGACAGGAAATTACGATTCACTTTTTTCCAGGAGTTACGCCCCTTTGAACTTATTTGCCAAATATACTACTGCAACCTTTTGTCATCGCAACTCCTCTGAAACCACACAACAGAATTTCATGAAACCTTTTCAGATAATAAGGACATACTACGTAGATGTGCATATCGACAGGAAATTACGATTCAATTTTTTTTCCAGGAGTTACGCCCCTTTGAACTTATTTGCCCAATATACTACTGCAACCTTTTGTCATCGCAACTCCTCTGAAACCACACAACAGAATTTCATGAAACCTTTTCAGATAATAAGGACATACTATGTAGATGTGCATATCGACAGGACATTACGATTCAATTTTTTTCCAGGAGTTACGCCCCTTTGAACTTATTTGTCCAATATACTACTGAAACCTTTTGTCATCGCAACTGCTCTCAAACCACACAACAGAATTTCATGAAACCTTTTCAGATAATAAGGACATACTACGTAGATGTGCATATCGACAGGAAATTACGATTCAATTTTTTTCCCAGGAGTTGCGCCCCTTTGAACTTATTTGCCCAATATACTACTGCAACCTTTTGTCATCGCAACTCCTCTCAAACCACACAACAGAATTTCATGAAACCTTTTCAGATAATAAGGACATACAACGTAGATGTGCATATCGACAGGAAATTACGATTCACTTTTTTTCCAGGAGTTACGCCCCTTTGAACTTATTTGCCAACTATACTACTGCAACCTTTTGTCATCGCAACTCCTCTGAAACCACACAACAGAATTTCATGAAACCTTTTCAGATAATAAGGACATACTACGTAGATATGCATATCGACAGGAAATTACGATTCAATTTTTTTTCCAGGAGTGACGCCCCTTTGAACTTATTTGCCCAATATACTACTGCAACCTTTTGTCATCGCAACTCCTCTCAAACCACACAACAGAATTTCATGAAACCTTTTCAGATAATAAGGACATACAACGTAGATGTGCATATCGACAGGAAATTACGATTCACTTTTTTTCCAGGAGTTACGCCCCTTTGAACTTATTTGCCAAATATACTACTGCAACCTTTTGTCATCGCAACTCCTCTGAAACCACACAACAGAATTTCATGAAACCTTTTCAGATAATAAGGACATACTACGTAGATGTGCATATCGACAGGAAATTACGATTCAATTTTTTTTCCAGGAGTTACGCCCCTTTGAACTTATTTGCCCAATATACTACTGCAACCTTTTGTCATCGCAACTCCTCTGAAACCACACAACAGAATTTCATGAAACCTTTTCAGATAATAAGGACATACTATGTAGATGTGCATATCGACAGGACATTACGATTCAATTTTTTTTCCAGGAGTTACGCCCCTTTGAACTTATTTGTCCAATATACTACTGAAACCTTTTGTCATCGCAACTGCTCTCAAACCACACAACAGAATTTCATGAAACCTTTTCAGATAATAAGGACATACTACGTAGATGTGCATATCGACAGGAAATTACGATTCAATTTTTTTCCCAGGAGTTGCGCCCCTTTGAACTTATTTGTCCAATATACTACTGCAACCTTTTGTCATCGCAACTCCTCTCAAACCACACAACAGAATTTCATGAAACCTTTTCAGATAATAAGGACATACAACGTAGATGTGCATATCGACAGGAAATTACGATTCACTTTTTTTCCAGGAGTTACGCCCCTTTGAACTTATTTGCCAACTATACTACTGCAACCTTTTGTCATCGCAACTCCTCTGAAACCACACAACAGAATTTCATGAAACCTTTTCAGATAATAAGGACATACTACGTAGATATGCATATCGACAGGAAATTACGATTCAATTTTTTTTCCAGGAGTTACGCCCCTTTGAACTTATTTGCCCAATATACTACTGCAACCTTTTGTCATCGCAACTCCTCTGAAACCACACAACAGAATTTCATGAAACCTTTTCAGATAATAAGGACATACTACGTAGATATGCATATCGACAGGAAATTACGATTCAATTTTTTTTCCAGGAGTTACGCCCCTTTGAACTTATTTGCCCAATATACTACTGCAACCTTTTGTCATCGCAACTCCTCTCAAACCACACAACAGAATTTCATGAAACCTTTTCAGATAATAAGGACATACTATGTAGATGTGCATATCGACAGGACATTACGATTCAATTTTTTTCCAGGAGTTACGCCCCTTTGAACTTATTTGTCCAATATAGTACTGAAACCTTTTGTCATCGCAACTGCTCTCCAACCACACAACAGAATTTCATGAAACCTTTTCAGATAATAAGGACATACTACGTAGATGTGCATATCGACAGGAAATTACGATTCAATTTTTTTCCCAGGAGTTACGCCCCTTTGAACTTATTTGCCCAATATATTACTGCAACCTTTTGTCATCGCAACTCCTCTCAAACCACACAACAGAATTTCATGAAACCTTTTCAGATAATAAGGACATACTACGTAGATGTGCATATCGACAGGAAATTAAGATTCACTTTTTTTCCAGGAGTTACGCCCCTTTGAACTTATTTGCCCAATATACTACTGAAACCTTTTGTCATCGCAACTCCTCTCAAACCACACAACAGAATTTCATGAAACCTTTTCAGATAATAATGACATACTACGTAGATGTGCATATCGACAGGAAATTACGATTCAATTTTTTCCCAGGAGTTACGCCCCTTTGAACTTATTTGCCCAATATACTACTGAAACCTTTTGTCATCGCAACTCCTCTCAAACCACACAACAGAATTTCATGAAACCTTTTCAGATAATAAGGACATACTACGTAGATGTGCATATCGACAGGAAATTAAGATTCAATTTTTTTTCCAGGAGTTACGCCCCTTTGAACTTATTTGCTTTAATGTACTACTGCAACAGTTTGTCATCGTAACTCCTCTGAAACCACACAACAGAATTTCATGAAACCTTTTTAGATAATAAGGACATACTATGTAGTTGTGCATATCGACAGGAAATTACGATTCATTTTTTTTTCTTAGTGTTACGCCCCTTTGAACTTATTTGCTTCAATGTACTTCTGCAACAGTTTGTCATCACAACTCCTCTGAAACCACACAACAGAATTTCATGAAACGTTGTAGATAATAAGGACATACTATGTAGATTTGCATATTGAAAGGAAACTATGATTCAATTTTTTTTTTCTTATACATTTTTTTTTTCTTACACTTATTTTATTTCTGCAATGACAATGTGGGGACGTGGGGTATGTGAGTGCGCTCACTAAGGTTCTTTAATTTCAAACAGATATTGGAATGTAGATTCTCCATTAGTGGGGAATATTGCCACTAGCGGTTCAAATGAACACAAAATGAAAAATAAACAACTTTGAGGAATCATATATACTACGTGTTCAGATGTGCAGTATTTGAACTTTTTATATTACTGAATCGCTGCCAGAGTAACTGAACAAATAATAATCGTAACAATTGTGAAATAATTCATAAGAATTTGATCAGACTGCATCGTTACAGATAATTAATCCGTATGAAAGAGTAAATCTGTTTCTGTGCATAGAACAAAACGAAGCATTCATTTTAAATCTAAAAGTGTGTCATAGACGAATTAAGTCTAGTCGAACCAGATGGAAGTCCGAGCATAGTTGCAATATACTGCATTATTCACAAAGGTTCAGTGCTTTAATATCATATTTTTATTGCTTCTTCAATATGAATCAATACATGAAAATATACTTAACAACACAAATAACGCACAACTTCCCATTTTCAGTAGTTCATAATTTCGTATTTTTGCCTAAAAAATGTAACACTTGTATTGAGAACATTTTTAACAGAACCTTCAAATCAAACAATGGGTTCACAAAGAAATGTTTGCTTTAGTGGCGACACATGTTCAAGTAAAAAAACCTCAAAAATCAAAAGCATGAGTTTAATTTATTTAAACTCGGTCATTGAATACACAGTTGATTAAGTTGGAAGTGTACTCGTGACTTAAGTTTTGACAATATTTGTAACTTTTTTCATTTTTTTAGAATGCAAATATGAAATAAAAAAAAATCCTTGTGTTCAAAGAATTTGTTGCTTATGACTCAAGAAAATTGGCTCTAAATTTCGGTGGATTTCAATCACTTTTTTAAAAGCTATCTATAATAGAAATTTGTACTCCAAAGAAGTGCGTTTCTGTAGTTTTTAAATATATTATGGACTTCCAAGAGTTAAACTAAATTGTTTAAACATACACCATTTCCCCCTGTGACATCAACAAAAAATTGTATTATATTTTTATTCTTTCTTTTTCATGAAACTGTGATATTATCGGCATTTGAGTTTTTCTCGTAAAGCCAAACGTAGCCCAGAATAGGATTAATAAAAAGTTGCATGTGTCGCCTCTCGACTATATGTAAGCGTGTTGGTAAAAGCAATTATACGTTAATTAATGGAAAATAAGCAGACATAATGAAGAATATCTCTAACACAAAAAAATTGTTTTTTTGTTGAGGGTTTGTTTGTTTGCGCGGGGGAGGGGTTCCACACCCTTGTGCTGGCGAAGCATTTTTTCTTAGGAATCAAAGGACCACCGATTATCAACAGATATAAGAAGATGTGGTATGAGTGCCAATGAGACAACTCTCAATCCAAGTCAAAATTTATGAAAGTAAACCATTATAGGTCAAAGTACGGTCTTCAACACGGAGCCTTTGCTCACACCGAACAGCAAGCTATAAAGGGCCCTAAAATTACTAGTGTAAAACCATTCAAAGGGAAAACAGCACATTAACAATAGTTAGTTATGTCTAAATTCATGATCATGAAGCCCTATTTTAAAATGTTGATCGATGATAACAAGTGAATTAGGTATTTCAAAAGGCTTCATTTCAGTAAAAATCGAAATCATCTTTGCAACGAGCAATCAAGAATGGGGCGATTTCCCTCCTGTGGTTGTATCAACACAGTCGGTCAAGGTTTTCAAAAACTCTACGACAAAGCTGAACGTAACATTTTAGCTGGAGGGGTCCGTATCATGGCGCCGCCCCACCGTCATGACAGAATAGTCAGTTGGTTGATTGTGACCATTATATGTTAGAATGGGACCGAGGGACCTTTTAAGTGACTTCGGGATAGGGCCTTTAATTTTGCTAGAATTTGGGATTTACGCTTATCGGGACTTTGGAATTCATGTTTAATTGTTCGGGATCCGGGAAGGACTTTATTTTCCCCCTGGAAAATCGGGATTGAGCGTTTAATTTGGGATGTGTTTTGAAAAATGCATAAACGGATAATCATTAACCAAAATGAATATCTGGGAGACAAGACAGCTTTATTTCCACTAAATTTTTTTTTCTATGGAAGATGCCCTTCTTCGGGAAAATACTTAAAACCTGATAAAATTCATCGAAATAGCAAATTTTATAATTTGGTTACATGATCAGAAATAAGCTATATAGAAAGTGTGATATCGTGAATTTTGGTAAACAAAAATAGCCCTGGTGTGAAATAAACTGACGGAAAATTTTCCTACCTCTTGTCATTTTGTTTTTATTACAGGTGATTGAGAGGTAATATACAATACATTAATTAATTAACAAATTTGGTGCATGGAATGTCCGTCAACTTTATTTTGAGTGATTAAAAATACATTGGAATTTCAGTGAGTTTATCGACAGGTTGTACTGTAGGCATTCGCATGGACACCAATTGCGCTCCTTTAATAGTAGACGTTTTAAATCACTGTTTGTGGCCAAATTCAGTATTGATCCATCTAAATTAAATGTAATTGATAAATTAAAAACAAATACCGTTACTTAATATTTTTAATTTTCTTCGATTTATGAGTTTTGACTGTCCCATTGGTATTTTCCGCCTCATTTCGCGAAAGCGAAAATAGCGATCCTAGATTTCGTCGTCGGCGTCGGCGGCGTCAACATTTAGGTTCAGTCTGTGGTTAATTTCTTTTTTAAAACAATAACATTGTCAAACCATGGAGTAAAATATAATACTTCCATGGTCAAACCTACATGGAGTTTTATGAAATTTGGACAGAAGCTTGTTTATGACCAAAATACAGTATCCAGGACAATATTTTGTAAATATTTATTTTCATTGTCCGTATTTTACTAATAAATGGACTTCGTTTTTTACCGAGTTAACATTCAGTCATCAATAACGCTTTCAAACCTTCATGGAAATTTATGAAATTTTGACAGAAGCTTGATTATGACCAAAATACAGTACCCAGAGCAATATTTTGAAAATGTTTATTTTCATATTTCCGTATTTTACCTATGGACGTAGTTTTTGGACAACATGTTTACATTTTGACCAGGCCGGCGGGTAATTAACAAGTGATAATAGTTTGATTGAACAATAAACAGGTGACAGGATATTAAATACCTGATAATCATATTGCTTCTGTCTATGTCACACGTCAAGGATGAGTAAAGGTAAATATCGGATTTGATAGAAAAGTGCATTGTTTTTCTCATGCAAATATCAATCGGAAGGTTTTGATGCCACATAACATTTATAAACTTTCAATTCAGCAAAGAAATACTAGCTATTTCACATTCCAATGCGGATATTCAGGACCTTCAGCATGTGGATCCAAACTGACAGCAGAAAAAAAATTGACTCAACGATAGTTCACAGCCTCCTAAGTGTTCAGATTAACAACTACACAAACTGTTACAAGGATAAGGATTACTTTAGTACAGAGTCAAGTGTATTAAAGACAGACAGCCAAGTCAGCTTCTACTTTTTAGAATAACACAGTGTGCCAAGACAAGTCTGTTCTGTAGAACTTATTAAAAAACATTTGTCCATGTAATATAGACAGTGCTTTACCTTATATATTTTAAAGTGTTTAGAACAATAAGTCTTAAGTTTTCTAGCAAAATGACTTTCTTAATGCTTAAAAACCATGCATAACTTTGGTTATTGTTTGTTTGTTTATTTATCACGTTATAAATATGTATAGCAAATATTTTTTTGATATATCTATGCCTATGACATTGCATACAAATAAAACAGATGGAGGCATGAATAAAACACTATGCTTAAATTTTCTCTTAGTACTCAAAGAAAAGGTTAAATCATAGAAATGATTATGATAGTTGACTTTATCCAATTTATGGCCGTTTCATAAAGTTTGTGCTTTAAATTTTGAGTTATCAAACTCAGTAGGCAGTTGCATCATGGTCTTTGGACGTGGCATATCCCAAAGTCAGATCACTTTGACCTTGACTTTGTCCTTTGATACCTATGATAGTAAAACCTTGTACAATTCGTGTCATACCTTTTGTACCTTAAAATTTTGGTTAACCTAGCGAGTAACTGCATGGTATGTAGTTTAACTGTTGCATTTGGGCTTGGGGTGCATCATATACCAAAATCAGATCATTCTGACCTTCCTCATTTGAACCCTATGATAGTTAAACAGTGTATGGTTTGTGTTTGGTGCATACGTTTTGTACTGTAGCACTTTGATTGACAAAACTTTGTACGCAGAAGCATCATACTAACCTTGACATTCAATTACAGAATTTACACTTATGAACCTCACACTTTGTTCCTGGGTCAGTATTATTCTCTAAGATTGACCTATGATTAACAATGTGTCAACTCAACACAGAGGCAATGATTATATCAAATGAATGGCTGAAAACCAAAAATCTCAACATGGCATTGCCTCAATGCTGAATTTCACAGCAGCAACTAAAATGTATTACATGGCTATAAGTACCTCTATGAATCTAGAGTATATTAACTTTTTATTCCTGTCTACATATTGCCATTGTTGGTTAAAGCCTTTCATATAAAATCACTTTCATTACAGTTGTATTGATTTAAGTTTGCTGTCTTTAATATTCAAAATAGGTGTGGTATTTTTTGCGAATGAACCAGCTATACAAAAGAGTTCAAAGGAGGAAGACATATAAACAATTATAGATCACCATACGGTCGTCAACAATGAGAAAAACTCATATCATATAGTAAGCTATAAAAGGCCCTGATATGAAAAATGTGGAACAATTCAAACAAGAAAACTAACGG